TAGAGTATTGATTCCACAATATCTTTTCAAAGTGAAGTATAATAGACAATTCTTTTTCTATATAATATCATTACCATCTGGTTTCCTTGGTGTTTCATGTTTTGTGTGTAATATGCAGAAAGACATCAAGAAAGGTCTCGAAGAGGCTTGATACAGCATACGTCATTTCCATTTATCTCAGGACACCTAATAAGTTCGCCATTGATAATGTAATGATATAAACGTAGCTCTAAATGTTTTAATTGTAGTTTGTTTTATTTTTAACGGACATATTTCTCAATTGAGTGTATATAGAAGGAGAAAATATTTCTTAAGAAGAGTAAAGCTAGTTAAGAGTGACGTGTAGAAGGTGAGACCCGTCTCAAACATAATTTGGGCCCTAGGCTAAAACTATTTTAAGATCCATTTCTTCATAGAATTTTTTTAAAAAAAAAGATATTGGACCCTTTATGTAAACTAAAAAAGATCAAAAATACAGTGGATTCAGTACAAAATGCATCATAGCACTCGGCTAGAACCGGGCCTAGTTAAGGTCATTAGAGAGTGAGAATGTGTGTGACAAGTCAAATATAATTAGAAAGTGATAATAATGTGTTCTCCTATGTAATTTTTGATAGAAAACGCGTAAAGTCTTCCCAAAAAACAAAAAAGATAAAGTTGGTTTCCTTTTTAAAGAATTGTGTAATTTTAATTGCTTAACCTAATCCTGAAATCTTTCCTAATAAAGAAAGAACTACGAGAATAAGAAATCGGTCGATATTCTTCATCTCCTTAATTTCTTCTTTCCTTTTCTCCTTACTGTATTCGCAAGACCTCATCTCCCATTCTTCTTCTATCATCACAAGCATCCATTTACGATGTTCCAGAAGTTCGATGAGTGGTTGAGGAAATTCCGGGACTACTCGACAACCACCAGGGTTTCCTTGCAATCGTAGCGAGCGTTTCCATGGCCATAACGCTTTTCTGCTTCGTCAAATTGACAGAGGACATATCTCCATTATATATCCCGATTGCTTGGATCCAGATCACTACGTCAGCAACGGTAATTGGGTATACTCTTTTGGTCGCCGCTAGGATAGGCTTCGGAGTGATCGATCGCGTTCCTGGAAGAAGACGATTCCCATACGCGTTTACTTTGGCGAAGTCCATCGTTCAGATTCTGGTGTTGCTAGCTTTCACATCTATGGACGACTATATGAAAAAACAGAGACGTGTATTCGTTGTCACCGCCGTCGTCTCAATGCACATCCACCTTGTCTCGGTGTTTTTCGCCTTCCACCTAGGTGAAGATTGCGATGTCCTAACTGCTTTTCTCTCCGTATCCTTCACTCTGGTTTACGAATTGGCCAAAGGATGGCTTTCGACTTTGGCTCTCTTCATTGTGGCGATAATGCTGATGTGGATCAAGAACCTTTTGTTCCTATATCCACCGCCGGTAAAAATCCTTTATAATTGCTCGGTGATATTGGTTAGAAAAGTTATATTCATACGTATGAAATATACGTTTTTCAATATAGACTTATATTGTACGCCTAACAAAATTTACATTGGATTATTAGGGTAAAAATTTATTTATATGTTAGACCAAAATATATTTATTATATGCATCGATACGTATTTTATTATTAAGGGTTGTATAGCTGTATAATGTAAGACATGTATTTTATTATTAAGGGATCCCTATTATTAATACATGCTTCAGATATTAAATCGTTCTTATTGGGTTTCATTATGTTAAACAGAATCCTGAAGTCAGAAACGTTGAAGTCGTGGGACGTTGAAGTCGTGTGACGTTGAAGCTATCGCAGTAGGAGTCTAAATATGAACCAAATTTATATTAGTAAAAACTTTTTAGTTATTTACAATTTGTCTTCAAAAACCTACTATTAGTTATTTACTATTGCGCACAACTCCTTTGTAGTCATGAAAGCACACTTTTAATTGAGAAATAACATGGTGTTTGAAAGAACCAATTATAACCCCTCTAATTACATTAACAAAGAAGGTAACATGTTATTGGACCTTTAATAAATCTAATTGTTGCTAAAACTCGTTATGGAAAGAAGGTGAATTTATTGGGCGTTTTTATCATTTACATATATTATGCTTTTATTTGTAAGAAAATAATTTTTTCTTTTGTTTCTGCGAGAATATTGATTTATTAATCTTTAGTAGAACAAATTTTCCCCATTATTTTAGACTTTCAAGATGATGTAATCTAAACTTCACTAATGGCCGATATAAATGATTTATCATAATAACCTTTAATGAATATTAAAAAAAAATAGGATCAAGAGAGCATTCAGGACGGTGGGTGAAGTGCTGTTAATTAAAGAAAGAGTCTCCATCTTTTAAAATTTATATGTAAATTCAATAAAGAATTATAGTTTTACACATTCTCTACATAAACTAAGTTGATCTTCGATACACTAAGTAAAAATGGTTAATTCTGTAACTCACTATCTAATAATTAATTAAATTATAATTATAATATTTGGCTAGAGATAGTTTAAAATTTTCTCACTAATAGTAAATATTTTGAATAAAGTATATAAACAATTTATACAATTTTGATATTTGTAACAATTTAAATGTTGAAATATTAATAATATATCAAATTATAATATAATTTATAATAATATATTAAATTCATATTTAATGTAAAACATTATTGACTCTGATGAAAAAGATTTCTGGTTCAACCACTAGATGTGGCTGCTCTCATAAAATGAAAGTGATGGAAGAGATTCATAAAACTGAATTTTGGTAAGAATTTTGATGTAACAATTAAGCTNGGGATCTTCTTTTTCCCTCATGTTCCTCACTTTTGCAAGAGAAACTTCTTTAAATATTTATACCGTTTAAGGGTGAGGATGACCCACTGGAAGACTTGATAAATATCTTTTGTCTTTTTCTGCGTTGTCAAAAAAGATTATTCTGTACCAGATTTTGTTAAATATTTTCTAAAATTGATATTCTATATTCTCTTTTTCACCCCCTTTGATTTTCCTCGGAGATATTATTACTTTTCAACTCAGTTCTAAAGATAATAAATAAGTACTCCTTTTAAAAATTTAAATCCCTTATAAAAACATTATAATAAATGCATTCACACCGTAACTGACACGTGTCGGTCTCACAATAATTTGACAATTAATACGTTCACACACTAATTTTTAAATTCATTATTTAATGTATTTATATACTATTTTTAATTAATTCATTTTTTCCTACATTTTTAGTCTTTGTATTAATAAATTAAAACTTTCTACGTGAAACTAATGAATAATATATTTATTGTAAAAAAACTACAAAATCATTAATATTTGCATCAACTAAAATGTTGCGATGAAAATGTTTGTAGAAATTGAAAGTTTCGTACCTCGCCGAAGTTAGTCATACTTGAGGATATGTCGTTATCACAGTTAAATGAAGATATAAGTTAAATGGAGATATAAGTCATTTCTGTTTTTGAAACTACTCAGTTCTGTAAATTCAATGATAATTACAGAAACCGCGTTGAATTGTGTAGTTGATATGTCGTTATCTATACTATTAAAGCTGAAGTACAAAAATAAAGTGTTTGGAAACATGAATAAGAAAATTTTAAAATTTTGATTGGAAACATGGATATCATACAAATTTAATGGGCTTATTTATTATACTAAAGATTACTGCGGCCCAAGGTACCATTATTTTTTTTTTGGATTTTCTATCATTGATATTACTTTACTTCTAAAATTTTTTTATACATATATGTGTTCATGTTTTAAATGTATTTAGAATAAATCAAGAATAATATATATTTTATTTATATAATTTATATTGACTATTCTTATAAGTTTTTAACAGTGATATACTAGCCTTCCAATTCTTCATTAAAAAATTAAATTAAAAATTTGACTAAATTATTTAGTGTATATAAATTTACACCAAATTTAGTCAAAAAACTTTTTAAAATATTAATAAAATGTTTACGGGTCACAATATTTTAAGACGCCCCTGTTACACAATACAATAATGAAATACAATATTTAAATAATATACTATTACTTAGTAAAATTGGCACCATTAAATTGTAATTTTGAAATGTTATATATACCATAAAAACAAAGACCCGCCCAGTCGGGCGGGTTATGATCTAGTTACAGTTAAATGGAAATACAAGTCATTTTTGTTTTCGCATTTTTTTTAGGGAAGGGTAAAATATGTTAAACGAGACGTGAAACCTTCCTAAAGAAGAATCGAGTGTTGTGAAACAAAGGTTTTTCTTTTTTTTTATCTTTTTTTTCTTTTTTTTAATAAAACAATAAATTGAAGTAAAAATTATAAATTTGATAGAAAACAATTAGTTAAAACTCTTTACAAATTTTTTTAATCTTTAAACAAACAGAGTTGTGTTCAATCGAAGACATATTAATTTGATGAACACTAAATATGCAAGAATATAAAAACTTTTCTTTCATGCTTCTGTTTTGTTTTTATTTTTTATTTTCAAAATTTAGAGATTTGATATTAATTCTAGATTTGATCATTTTATTAGATCATAGAAGCCTTTTTTTTTGTTTTTTATTCTTTTAGTTAAATATATAATATTTTTTTAATAAATGACTTTTTGACAATATGACTCTAAATATGATCATATTATTTATTTTTATAATATATAATATGATTTCAAATTAAATAATGATGTATTTTGGTATAAAATTGAATAAACTGAAAACCAATATATAAACCAAATCAAATTGAAGTAAATATGAATTTAGAATAGTAGTTATATTTTAATAACCAAAATACTGAAACCCGATATCCAGATTGAACATCCTTAATCTAGATGAAACCGAACTTTTGTTTCATTTTCCAAAACAAAATAAAAATAATAACTTCATTCCGCGTAAGGCGCGGATCTTATCCTAATAAATGTTATAAGTGAATCTAATGAATGTTATTAATGATTGAATAATGTAATGTCATAAATTCTATTAGATAGTCCATTTTAAAATATCATGCATGAAGTGAAGTCATGAATTCTCTTTTAATATATAAGATTAAGACAGAAAAAAATAAGTTTTATTCTCTTGCAACTAAATATGAAATTAAGGCAGAAAAAAACAACAACTTAGCATGTATGTTAACTTTTGTAGGAAGGATCAATCCACCAACCCATAAGATCTGAAAAATATTTTTTTTCTTTTTTTGCTTTATCAAAGAATATTATTCTGTACCATGTTTGTCCGCTCTGTTGACGTAGTACCGGAGATGGTATGGCTAGAGATTTTCCTTTTCCTCATGTTTTTCACTTTTGTAGGAGAAACATCATCATCAAGAGTGAGATATGTTCTTTCTTGACAACACTTTCATTCTTTTTTGCCTTAACAGTTTCTCTGACTTGTTTATTTTCTGGCAGGATCTGCCCAGGGCTTGTGAGCAAGTGCAATTCACGTCGAACAATATTGGAGATGGCACACCTCAGATTCTACTCCCTTGGAATCCTTCTTCTTGTCAGGAGATGCAGCTGATTGTGACAGGAGGTCAGCTAATCACAAGCTTTCTCTCTCTTGATCTTCCTTTCCCAAAATCCTA